GGACTTCAAAGGCGGCGATGCCGGACAAAATTCTGACACCGACGACGCAGGAAGGGCCCGGCCAGGTGACGCACGATCGCGGCCAAGAGCGAGAGATGGAGGGCGGACAGGCGGACAGCGGCGGGGGAGATGCCGGCCCTCGCTGGGGTTTCAGCCGCAACTTCAAGCGACGACAACGACGACAAAAAAGTTCACCACCACAGAAGAACTGCGGTAGCGACCGTGACGAGTATAAAAATACGAAAATATTATTTAAAGCCGCCCTGGCGAACGGCGTTTGTACGAAGGCATCTTGCTTCTCCCTGCCCCCCACGGTCATGCGTCGGGGCGAGGGCGGGCTGTGCTTCACCCACTGGCAGAGCCAGTAGGGGGTGGGGGGGGTGAGTGGCACGTGCCCCCCCCCCAATGACCCGATCGAAATCCCTAATTTCGATCGGATCATTGGGGTTTATTAGAAATAAATCGGCTTTTTGCGACCCACACTGCCACCGTGTAGCATATTATTACGTGACAGGGACTCTATGAGATGATAGGACAATAGTCTGAGTCCATAATTGGCAATAAGTAACGGCAAAGCAGTTCAGAATTGTGCGCAGTTACGTATACAGCACACGACTTCCCTGAAAGCATCAAACACCTTCAGCGAGCACGATGCTGATCACACAACGCGGTTCGAATTCGACCCTCGATCGATGGCTGCGCCATCGCCGCACACGCGTTGAATTAAAAGCAAGGGACAAGTCCTCACTGACTAACAACTCCTCTATCATGTTTCATTGCTGGAGGGGTTGCCCCCCTCCCCTACCTGAAAAGCCTGGCTCCGCCATTGGCTTCACCCACCGCGCTGCACGGACCGGGTGTAGTGGCGAGGCCGGGATGGGACACCGCTCGCCACTCGCAGTGGAGATGCGGTGGGGGGGGAGGTGGGGGGGGGGCACCCCATCGCAGTCGATTAGCCCTGAAGGTGTCAAACTGGCAAGAGGTCGTCACTGGCGTCACGGACGATGCGGATCGGGGAGACGCAGCCCTCCTCCTCCTCCGCTCGGCTCGGCTCGGCTCCGCAGTTTGGACATCTGTCCGTTGATCAGATTCCGTCGAGGATTTACATTTCTCGCGTGAATCCCCTCCCTGTCGCCCCCCACCCCCCTCGAAGCCTTAAAGTGGTGGCGGTGGTGGCAGTGGTGTGACGGTGTCACCGAAGCCCCCCACCGCACCCCAACGGCCCCCACGCCGATGGATCCCACCCCGACCCACCCATTATTTGTGTGGCGTTGGGAGCGGCCGCGAGTTTACGAAAGTCTCGGGCTCGGGGCGGGGGGGGAGGGGGGGGAGGCTGACAGCACCGGGACGAGCCTCTGGGCTGTTACGTAAACCACCGCAGCGGCGGTCGCGCCTCCTGGGCAGCAGCGGCGGGAACGACTCCACCAAGCGCCGCAAAACCACAACCACCGCAACCACCGCAACCACCACAACCACCACCGCAACCACCACCGCAACCGCAACCACCGCAACCGCAACCACCACCGCAACCACCACCGCAACCACCATCGCAACCACCGCAACCACCGCAAACACCACCGCAACCACCGCAACCACCGCAACCACCGCAACCACCACCGCAACCACCATTGCAACCACCACCACAACCACCACCACAACCACCGCAACCACCACCACAACCACCGCAACCACCACCACAACCACCACCGCAACCACCATTGCAACCACCGCAACCACCACCACAACCACCGCAACCACCACCACAACCACCGCAACCACCACCGCAACCACCACCGCAACCACCATTGCAACCACCGCAACCACCACCACAACCACCGCAACCACCACCACAACCACCGCAACCACCACCACAACCACCACCGCAACCACCATTGCAACCACCGCAACCACCACCACAACCACCGCAACCACCACCACAACCACCGCAACCACCGTAACCACCACCAGCTGCACCACCTCCCTGAACCTCACCCACCCAACCGCCAAAGACCCCCCCCCCCTCTCCGCCGTATAGCCTGTGACAGAGTCGGGGCAGGCGTTGTTTGCGAGCACCTATGAAGGCCGGCACTGCGGGCGACGGGGTGGGTGGCAGCCGCGGCAGGTACTCATCTGAGGCCGAGTCGATCTAGGGGAGGCCCACGACCGGTTGGGATCACCGTCACCGGCCGCGAGCGGGAATCGAACTCGGGTCGCGGGGTTCGTAGCGCAGCGTAGCGCTAACCGCTACCCCACCGCCACCAACACCTCTACCCACATTGTGCCCCCCGGCCGGTCCCGCCAAAGTGCCCGCTATTAATTAGCTCTGCTTACCAGCCTCTGCTATGCCCACGAGGGGGTAGTGGGGGGGGGTAGGCGTGGGTGGAGTGGGGGGTAGGAGCTGCTCGTTAACACAGAGTTAATCTCAAAGGCAGCTTCAGCCCAGGCGACCAAACAATGCCTCCACAGATGTATATCTTGGTTCTCGCTCATTCCAGCGCCCGCCACAACCACCACCACCACCGCTGCCGTGATAACAGAAATTGAGGCTTTTCCCCTCCCATGCGTTATCTGCTCCTAAGTGCGCACGAGTGTGTGTGTGTGTTTAATTGTGTGCGTGTGTAATTGTGTGTGTGAACGTGTGTGTGAATGAACGTGCGTGTACGTGTATGTGTTTAATTGTGTGTGTGTGTGAACGTGTGTGTGAATGAACGTGTGTGTGCGTGTACGTGCTTAATTGTGTGCGTGTGTAATTGTTATTCTTGGTTCATTCGGTAAAGTCACGTGGATAGAAAATAAAAAAAATAAAATGTAATTAAAAATATAAATAAATTCAAAATAAAAGAAAAAAACCACGATAAAAAGAGTATAATAAAAATAGAATTAATTGTGTGAATGTGTGTGTGAATGAACGTGTGTGAATGTATATGGGTTGCGTGTACGCAAGTGTGCGTGTGTTTAAGTGTGGTGTTGGGCGACCCACCCCCTCGTGTGCCAGCCTTCGTAGGTGCTCGCTAACAGCACTTGCCCCTACAGTCTGTTACAGGCTACACAGGGAAGGGGGGGGGGGTGATCGTTGCCTTTTCGAGTGTACTTGTGCGAGTACGCGCGTGTGCGTGCGTGAGTATGCGTGTGTGTGCGTGTGCTTTTGTGAGTATGCGTGCGTGTGCTTTTGAGTACACGTGTGTGCTTTTGAGAGTATGCATGCGTGTGCTTTGTGAGTACACGTGTGTGCTTTTGTGTACGCGTGCGTGTGCTTTTGTGAGTATGCGTGTGCGCGTGTGTGAGTACGCGTGTGTGCGTGTGTACGAGTATGCGCGTGTGCGTGCGCGTGTGAGTACGCGCGTGTACGAGTATGCGCGTGTGCGAGTGCGCGTGTGTGCGTGCGTGTGAGTATGCGCGTGTGCGTGCGCGTGTGAGTATGCGCGTGTGTGAGTACGCGTGTGTGCGTGCGTGTGTGAGTACGCGTATGTGCGTGCGTGTGTGTGCGCGTGTGTGTGCATGCGTGCGCGTGTGTGCGCGCGTGTGAGTATGCGTGTGTGTGCGCGCGTGTGAGTATGCGTGTGTGTGCGTGCGAGTAACACGCGGGCACTCGCGCTCCGTGATTGCTCTAATTACCCAGCGCACACAGACGCTTCCCGGCCCAAGGCAGCGCTGGACCAGGGGGCACCCACACCCCGATGGCTCCCATCTGATAGTAGTACCACTGCGGACACGGGGAGTGGGTGGGTGGGTGGGGAGGGAGGGGAGGAAGGGAGGGAAGGGAGGTAGGGAAGGGAGGGAGGGAGGGTACAGGCAATACACAATTAACTTTTAATTGCTGCATTATAAGAAAGCCCGATTGCTTGGATTCAGATGCGGCGCACTTTATCGATCCCGTCATCAAAGTTTAATGGAGGGTTCTCGGGGTTTTTAAGCAAGGCACCTTCACGCCATACGCAAGCAAAATAGATTACGCTCTCAATAAATAAATAACGTAATTAAACCGGGGCGGAATAACCCAACGCCCCCCACTCCCACGTTTAATTTAGACTATTAACTTAAACAAAAAAAAACCTTGTGGCACTGCATTAGCCTGCAGATCCAGAAGCGCGATCCCGCGGAAATTATCACTTTAATTGCACAAACTCCTTCCCGGCTACGACGGCCGAGGGTCTGCCCAATCATCATCACCATCATCACCTCCTCCGCTCCGCTCCATCCTCTTCTCGGCCTCGCTCGGCGGATTCTCTTCCACACAGCCCGCTGCGGCCGGAGCAACGGCCTCCGACTCGGAGCCGGGCGAGCGGCCCTTGGGGGGGGGTCGCTCCAGGCCTCCCGACCTCCCGGCCATCGTCGCTACTGCAGTGACGTTTAAAATGGAAACGCGCAAATGAACCCCTCGCTTTTCGCGAGCCAATTAGTGGCGGGGCCGCTCGGGGAGATGAGCAGCTGACACCGGCGCGGGCGTCTGTCAGCGGCGCTTTAGACGCGCACGCGACGCCGTGGCCAGCGCCGCAACACTTTCCAGATTCTCCGAGGACTCCCCCCCCCTCCCTGCCTCTTGCTCTCGCTCTCTCTCCGTGTCTCTCAAGATCCTGCACGCTCACCCCTCACCGTCTCTTCACCTCTCTCCCCTCCGTCTCTCCCAGTCCCCACTGTCTCCACGTTCAATCCATGGACTAACACCGCCCCCCTCTCACCACCTCGTCCCACTCTCACCACATCCCCCCCCCCCCCCCCCCCCACCGAGGCCTCCTCCTGCCAACGCACGGACGGGTTCACGATCCCACTTCCCATCTCTCGGCGATCTTGTGGCACAAACCTGCGACGTCCGGTGTCTCCCGGCAGGCGGCCTCCGCTGCGGGTACCAAACACCCGTCTCGGTTCCACTCAGTACACGCCGGGGGCGAGCACCGTGGCATCGCCACGACAACGGCGGCGTCGCCGCGATGACAGGCATCGTCCCGGTCGGTGCGGAGCCGGCAAGTGATGCGGCGGCCGGGGCCGGTGGGCGTGCGGCACGGGAGCCGGGAGGCCGGTTCCTGTGGTCCCATGTGACGGAGCCTCCAGGAGACAGGAGCTCCCCGCCGATGCGGTCACCGTGCGTCGCGGTGGATCAGCGATCCGTGCCACGACGCGTCACCGCGTGACCTCGTCCTCCTGTACACTTCTCAACGGGCACCTCGATCCGTTGACCCCTCACTCCGCGACCCTTGCACCGCTTGACCCGCCGACCGGCCACGCACGACTCTTCGGCAAGCAGTTAGACACCGAGACCAGAGCAAGAAGCGCGGGAGACGTTTATTGAAGTAAGCGCGCGGAGGCCAGTCGCCCAGAGATTCATCGCCCGGACCTCGACGGCCAAAACTCTTCTATAAAAACCTCACCGGCCGCCTCCTTCCACCTCCTCGTATAAAACCCACCGAGATATTTGGCAAGCGCTGCGGCTATAAAAAAAATCACTGAGTTGCCGGGCTCTGCAGGAGCTTTGCCATGGGGAAAGCTCGCTGCGGTCGCGAGCCGAAGGGGGAGGGGAGGTCCGCCGCTCCCCCCGGGTGCAATGGCTTTGTTTTGTTTTAAACGCGCAAACGTGTGCAAGCGAGCGAACGTAGGGGAAGCGTGCGGTACTGGCCCTGGATTAATACTGAGAGGCACACGGCCCAGAGGAAGAGAGGCGTCCAGGGCCGTCGCGTTTCCCGACACTCCCCCCCATCCCCCAAAGCCGCCACCCCCCCACACGACGGCTCGCGACGCGAACGTCCCCGCGTGTCCGCGCGGCGTGTCGACGTGCGGTCCGTCGTGGGGGGGGGGTGGTGTAGGGGGATTGGAGAACCCTCGCCAGCTCCTCCGAGCTCCTCCACTGGCAAGGCCCGACTGAGAACGTGGCGTCGACATCGCTTCCTCCGCCGCCCGGGTCGCTCGGGGCGGGGTGGGCGGCGGTGCTGTCACTTGGACGACTTGCGTCCGAGTTTGAGAGACTGCGGGGCCGAACCGCCGGAAGGCCCCGCCGCCGCCGCCGCCAGCGCATCGCCGTCCTCCTCCTCCTCCACGAGGTCTTCGGCCGAGCCCCAGCGGCGCCGCCCGTGACCGCCGCCGCCGCCTCCCCCCCAGCGGCCGCCTCCACCCCTCGAGGGCTGCCCGCCGCTCCACGACGCGCGGTTGCCGGGGCCCCCCAGCTGCGCCGCTTGCGCCCCGGGGACCCCCGCGGGCCCCGCCAGGCTGGCGCGGTACGGCAGCAGCCCCGGGAAGGCCCCGGCCAGCTTGCGCGATGATCGCTTGTCGGCGCGCATCGCTGCGGCGCGCACACGGCACGGGAAACACGGAGGTCGTCACGGCACGGCGCGCGGTTCTCCGAGTTCAACGGTTCGCCAGAGGAGCTCCGTTCAGTTGCACGTCACGCGGTTGCACGTCACGCCCATCGTCGGCGAGACGCGCCACCGCCCCCACGTGACGTAGAGAGACGCGGATGTAAAGACAAAGATCCCTCGCGTAGCCCTAAACGGACCGTTGGGGCAAGTGCTGCTCGCGATCACTTATGCAGGCTGGCACGGCGTGCGAGGGGGCGAGTGGCCAACACCACCCCAGTGCTGATGCTTTATAAACACCGTGCCAGGTACTTGTTTCAGGCTGAGTAGACCCAGGGGGAGGCCCGGGACCGTTTCGGATATTCGCCATTGATGTTGGCCGTGAGCGGGATTCGAACTCGGGTGGCCGGGTTAGTAGCACGGCGCGCTCACCGCTACGCTACCGGTCCATGCCCCCCCGCATCACCACCGGGGAGCCTGGGAGACGCAGTCACGAACCAAGCCGCTGCCTCCTTCGCTCACGGCCAAGTCGTTTCTCTCGATCTCTCTCCCAGAGGTCGCAAACGGGTTTCGATTCCTTACCCGTACCCGTACTCGGCCGCACCAGGGTCGCAAATGGGTACCCGTACCCGTACCCGGCTGGGTACGGGTACGGGTACCCGTTCCCTACCCGTACCCTACCCGAAATGAGTGACAAACGGTTCCTCACCAGTGACTCACGGCCTACCCGTACCCGGCCGCACCAGGGTCGCAAACGGGTACCCGTACCCGGCCGGGTACCCGTACCCGGCCGGGTACGGGTAGCCGGGTATCGGGTAGGGTAGGGTACAGGTATCGGGTACCCGGTTGCGACCTCTGCTCTCTCCTCCCTGGCTCCTCCACCCTCTCTTACCTACATAGCCTCTTGTTACAGCAGCCCTTTTGCTCACTTCAGCAATTGCTTCTTGCTGAAGCTTGTCCCACCTGATGACGGGCACTTGTGTTGCGCCCGAAACGTCGTGATTTAATTTGTTTATTTTCTACCTACGTGACTTTACCGAAAGAACCAAAGAGTATGGATCCCTGCAGTCACGAAAACTTCAAGCCGACGGTCGGCACGACAACGCGAATGGGCAGCCGGGGGGCAGCCGAGGGCAGCCGAGGGGCAGCCGAGGGCAGGCAGGCCTGCCACGACACGCACGCCGCACCCCAGGGTCCACTCGGCCGTGGAATGGCATAGTGCCGTCATCGTGAGACACGATCGATCGCCCGCGGGACTCCCGCTGAAGGAGCTCGATAATCCGCGGGGGAAAAATCCACCTCAGAGAGCGCGGCTTTAATGCCGGGGAGCGGCAGCTCGCAAAGAAAGACGCGGAAATGACGGCGGCACCGAGATTCGTAATTATTTCCCCAACGGCGGTGAGAGCGGGTCCCCCGCCAGCGCCACCTCCACCCGAGCGTCACCACGATCGACCGGCCGACGCTGCCCCCCCCCCCCCCCCCCCCCCCGGCGCTGGTTCCCGTTCGTGTTAATGCGGCGGCAAATCGCGACCGCCCTCCCGTCGCCAGAGGTCGCAATCAGGTACCCGATACCCGTACCCTACCCAATACCCGGCTACCCGTACCCGGCCGGGTATTGGGTAGGGTACCCGTTTGTGACCCTGGTGCGGCCGGGTACGTGTACGGGTAAGGAATCAAAACCCGTTTGCGACCTCTGCCGTGCGCCACGAGTGGGGCAGTAACAGTGCAGATGGTATACCTCGCGCCTTTCACGACGCACGTGAGCCCGAGAACTTGACTATAGTTGAACACGTAGGAGGCTTTCACGACCAATATCATCCATAATGTAGCTTTTTTTTATTAGATTGCGTAATTATACGTACGTGATCTAACCCAAAAAAAAAACAACCCTATATCATGAACTGACTATAATCGCCGAGCCGCGCGCTCGGAGGAGACACATGGGAGATGCGGGGGACACACGTGGGAGATCCAGAAGAAACGCGTGGAAGACGAGAGGGAGACAAGTGGGCGACACGGGGGAGATACAGAGGAGATACAGAGATGTGTGGGAGATGTGTGGGAGACTTGGGGGAGACGTGGGGGAGACACGTGAGAGATGTATGTACGTATGTTGAACTTTGTCCGTACCGTACGTAGCCAACCGTGTTAATCGGAGATGAGTGGGAGACGCGTGGGAGATGAGTGGGAGATGAATGGGAGACGCGTGGGAGACGCGGGGGAGACGCGGCAGAGGCTTACGTGTGGAGAGGTTCGGAGTCACAGCCTCTCCGTGCCGGGCCTTGCCGTAATGCCACGCCAGCCGCCCACTGTAGTCGCGCACGTCCTGGCGCACGCCTGGATCATCAGGGTCGGGGTCACGGGTGGAGGGGGCGGGGGGTCAAAGTCAGAGTCAACCGTGAGTGCACAAATCTTTCTGCTGTGATGAAGGGCCATTGAAGGTGAGTGCAGAGTTGAGTGGAGGTGGGTATGGAGGTGAGTGTAGAGGTGAGTGGAGGTGGGTATGGAGGTGAGTGTAGAGGTGAGTGGAGGTGGGTATGGAGGTGAGTGTAGAGGTGAGTGGAGGTGAGTATGGAGGTGAGTGTAGAGGTGAGTGGAGGTGGGTATGGAGGTGAGCGTAGAGGTGAGTGGAGGTGGGTATGGAGGTGAGTGTAGAGGTGAGTGGAGGTGGGTATGGAGGTGAGTGCAGAGGTGAGTGGAGGTGGGTATGGAGGTGAGCGTAGAGGTGAGTGGAGGTGGGTATGGAGGTGAGTGTAGAGGTGAGTGGAGGTGGGTATGGAGGTGAGCGTAGAGGTGAGTGGAGGTGGGTATGGAGGTGAGTGTAGAGGTGAGTGGAGGTGGGTATGGAGGTGAGTGTAGAGGTGAGTGGAGGTGGGTATGGAGGTGAGCGTAGAGGTGAGTGGTGGTGGGTATGGAGGTGAGTGTAGAGGTGAGTGGAGGTGGGTATGGAGGTGAGTGTAGAGGTGAGTGGAGGTGGGTATGGAGGTGAGTGCAGAGGTGAGTGGAGGTGAGTATGGAGGTGAGTGGAGGTGGGTATGGAGGTGAGCGTAGAGGTGAGTGGAGGTGGGTATGGAGGTGAGTGTAGAGGTGAGTGGAGGTGGGTATGGAGGTGAGTGCAGAGGTGAGTGGAGGTGGGTATGGAGGTGAGCGTAGAGGTGAGTGGAGGTGGGTATGGAGGTGAGTGTAGAGGTGAGTGGAGGTGGGTATGGAGGTGAGCGTAGAGGTGAGTGGAGGTGGGTATGGAGGTGAGTGTAGAGGTGAGTGGAGGTGAGTATGGAGGTGAGTGTAGAGGTGAGTGGAGGTGAGTGTAGAGGTGAGTGGAGGTGGGTATGGAGGTGAGCGTAGAGGTGAGTGGAGGTGGGTATGGAGGTGAGTGTAGAGGTGAGTGGAGGTGGGTATGGAGGTGAGCGTAGAGGTGAGTGGAGGTGGGTATGGAGGTGAGTGTAGAGGTGAGTGGAGGTGGGTATGGAGGTGAGTGTAGAGGTGAGTGGAGGTGGGTATGGAGGTGAGTGTAGAGGTGAGTGGAGGTGGGTATGGAGGTGAGTGTAGAGGTGAGTGGAGGTGGGTATGGAGGTGAGCGTAGAGGTGAGTGGAGGTGGGTATGGAGGTGAGTGTAGAGGTGAGTGGAGGTGGGTATGGAGGTGAGTGTAGAGGTGAGTGGAGGTGGGTATGGAGGTGAGTGTAGAGGTGAGTGGAGGTGGGTATGGAGGTGAGCGTAGAGGTGAGTGGAGGTGGGTATGGAGGTGAGTGTAGAGGTGAGTGGAGGTGGGTATGGAGGTGAGTGCAGAGGTGAGTGGAGGTGGGTATGGAGGTGAGTGTAGAGGTGAGTGGAGGTGGGTATGGAGGTGAGTGCAGAGGTGAGTGGAGGTGGGTATGGAGGTGAGTGTAGAGGTGAGTGGAGGTGAGTATGGAGGTGAGCGTAGAGGTGAGTGGAGGTGGGTATGGAGGTGAGTGTAGAGGTGAGTGGAGGTGGGTATGGAGGTGAGTGTAGAGGTGAGTGGTGGTGAGTATGGAGGTGAGTGTAGAGGTGAGTGGAGGTGGGTATGGAGGTGAGTGCAGAGGTGAGTGGAGGTGGGTATGGAGGTGAGTGTAGAGGTGAGTGGTGGTGAGTATGGAGGTGAGTGTAGAGGTGAGTGGAGGTGGGTATGGAGGTGAGTGCAGAGGTGAGTGGAGGTGGATATGGAGGTGAGTGTAGAGGTGAGTGGAGGTGGGTATGGAGGTGAGTGTAGAGGTGAGTGGAGGTGAGTATGGAGGTGAGTGTAGAGGTGAGTGGAGGTGGGTATGGAGGTGAGTGTAGAGGTGAGTGGAGGTGGGTATGGAGGTGAGTGTAGAGATGAGTGGAGGTGGGTATGGAGGTGAGTGGTGGTGGGTATGGAGGTGAGCGTAGAGGTGAGTGGTGGTGGGTATGGAGGTGAGTGTAGAGGTGAGTGGTGGTGGGTATGGAGGTGAGCGTAGAGGTGAGTGGAGGTGAGTATGGAGGTGAGTGTAGAGGTGAGTGGAGGTGGGTATGGAGGTGAGTGTAGAGGTGAGTGGTGGTGGGTATGGAGGTGAGCGTAGAGGTGAGTGGAGGTGGGTATGGAGGTAAGCGTAGAGATGGGCGCTACACACGTAGGGTGGTGATGAGGAGTTCCACCATCTCTTCACGGCTGTGGATGGTGGCGATGTGTAGCGCCGTGTAACCCTGCAACCACGCACACAACCAAAAGAAACAAAGATCCCCCGTGTAGCCTTAACAGACTGTTGGGGCAAGTGCTGTTAGCGAGTAGCAGCACCTATGAAGGCCAGCAAGGCACACACGAGGGTGGGAGGCTGCCTTTGTTTCCCTAGGAATGGTGATGATTACACACTGCACAAGGTACTCATTTGAGTCGACCTAAGGGAGGCCCAGGACTATCTCGTCATCAGTGTTGGTGGCCGTCAGCGGGAATCGAACTTGGGCGGTGGGGTTCGTAGTGCGGCACGTAAGCCACTGCACTACCCCTCCCCGTTACACACAGCCACGCACACACACAGCCACGCACACGCACAGCCACGCACACACACAGCCACAAACACGCACAGCCACGCACACGCACAGCCACGCACACGCACAGCCACGCAAACGCACAGCCACGCACACACACAGCCACGCACACACACAGCCACGCACACACACAGCCACGCACAGCCACGCACAGCCACGCACACGCACAGCCACGCACGCGCACAGCCACGCACGCGCACAGCCACGCACGCGCACAGCCACGCACACGCACAGCCACGCACGGCCACACAGCCACGCACGCACACAGCCACGCACACACACAGCCACGCACACGCACAGCCACGCACACGCACAGCCACGCACACGCACAGCCACGCACGGCCACACACACGCACACACACAGCCACGCACACACACAGCCACGCACACGCACAGCCACGCACGGCCACACACAGCCACACACAGCCACCGAGAGGCTGGCCCCCATGGGGCCTTGGTGATGAAGGCCTTGCCTGGAGTCCTCCGCTCCTCTCCCCACGCTCCGCGCCTTCATGCGGAGGATCTACATTTTACGGGGGGAGTGGAGGGGAGGCGTGCACGGCCCCCCGCTAACTCACGGTCTTGTTTACCGCTGACAGCGGGGGGGGGGGGGGTGGCGGGGGGGAGAGCCCTCGGGGCTACGATCGTTCTGCGTCCGTGGAGATTTGGGCCGAAGTGCTTAAGATGGGCATTGATTTTTTCATAAATTCTTTCAAACGACCCAAAAGAAAACGCTCTGAATGTAGCGTGGCGCTGGAAGAAACAAAACCCCCCACAAAATCAAATGGATGGAAGATCAGGAGCGGCAGGCGGTGATCGGCGGTGGTAATGGTGGTGTTCATGGGAGTCTCGGAGTCTGGGTTACGGGTGTTGCTTACCCCCTGTTCCGGGTGCCGTGGCGGTGTGGAGACGTCGGGGGGACGCGGAGACGGTGAGGGCGCGGCCGCACAGGGAGACACGGCGGGGGGGGGGGGCATAGTTGGGAGGGGGGGGGGGCTCCATTAGCACTGCTCAACATCGCGGTAAATTATTCTTAAGAACTGGAGCGCGACTTAACCCCACAGCCGCTCGCACCGCTCTCGTCCGCACGGTGTTCCCACCGCGCCGCCGATGCCGCGGGTAGCCCGGGGCGGCACTACCGCCACCGCTAGTCACCCGCCCCCCCCCCCCCCCGCGGATTGCCTCCACATGCCGGACCGCCCGCCCACCCGAGCAACCGTCGCCGCCCAACAAAGGAAGCTCCGTAGGAAAAACAAGCGGTGGCCCGTCGCGAACGCTCGCCAACGACGGCACAGCCTGCGGGCCTGGTAGTGGGGGGGGGGGGGGCACGGGAAAGCGTTAAAGCGGCCCTTCAATCCCCGCGTAAATCAGCTCCCGGGGAAATTACCCGGACGTCACTGTCAAAATATTATGGCAGCCCACGCGCGGTGCGCGGCGCACGGCGCGCGGCGGGCGGCGCACGGCGCGCGGAGAGAAAATTAACTTTTAATATTAATAACGTGCGGTGACTCACGGAGACGGAGCGCTTTTACTCACGTGCTGCCAGGGCGCCCGCGCCACACGCGACGCAAATGGGCGGCGGCGGCGGCCATCGATGAGCATCGGAGTGCACGGGGGGGGGGGGGGAGATGGGGGGGAGAGGGAGATGGGGGGGAGAGGGGGCGCAGAGGGGGGGGAGAGGGGGAGAGGGAGATGGGGGGGAGGGAGATTGGGAGGAGAGGGAGATGGGGGGGAGAGGGGGAGAGGGAGATGGGGGGGAGAGGGAGATGGGAGGGAGAGGGAGATGGGGGGGAGAGAGATGGGGAGGAGAGGGGGAGGGAGATGGGGGGAGAGGGGGAGGTAGATGGGGGGGAGAGGGGGAGGGAGATGGGGGGGAGAGGGAGATGGGGGGGAGAGGGGGAGGGAGATGGGGGGGAGAGGGGGAGGGAAATGGGGGGGAGAGGGGGAGGGAAATGGGGGGGAGAGGGGGGGGAGATGGGGGGGAGATGGGGGGGAGAGGGGGAGGGAAATGGGGGGGAGAGGGGGAGGGAGATGGGGGGGAGATGAGGGAGGGAGAGGGGGAGGGAGATGGGGGGGAGAGGGGCAAAATCGAGGAGTGTGGAGTAGGGAGCAGAGAGAGAGAAGCCGAGGAGAGAGGCACGTGGTGTGGGGGTGAGTGAGAGGGCACCACGGGAGCACAGGGGAACGGGGAGGGCAGGGATGAGAAGAGATATAATTAGTCGGTTAATCTCGTTCATCGCCCCATTCTTCTCCGCCGGGACGCTCGGACGTAAATTAATACATCGAGGAAAAATAATAAAAACGGGTCGGGTCGGGTATATCATATCAGAATGGAATAATTTTTCCCCACAAACAGTTCAATCACTGGCTCATGAACGGACAAATTACCCCAGTGCCCCCACCCCCGCGCGTAATTTACACGCCCCTAGCAGTTCGTGTGTGGCTGCGTTGCGTCGTCGCCGGCCGGATTCAATTTCTCCCCGGCGCTCGGCGAGATAGCGGCGCCACCGCTGTGGCCAACTCTGACGTCAGTGCCGCCGCTAACGGCGCTAACGGCGCTAACGGCCTGCGTTTATTGAGACGTTCGCTCGGCACCAGAGGTGGAATGCGAGGACGCAAAGAGCCCGGGAGACGCTGGGAAGCGGGAGATGCAGGGACGCGTGAACGTGGGGACGTGGGGAGATGGGGAGATGGGAAGATGGGGGAATGGGGACACTGGGACACTGGGACGCGAGGACATTAAGACACAAGACACAGGGACATAAAGACACTGGGATGCGGGGACACGGAGACACTGGGACGCAGGGACACAGAGACACTGGGACACGGAGACACTGGGACACTGGGACGCAGGGACACGGAGACACTGGGACACTGGGACGCAGGGACACGGAGACACTGGGACGCAGGGACACGGAGACACTGGGACACGGAGACACTGGGACGCAGGGACACGGAGACACTGGGACACTGGGACGCAGGGACACTGGGACACTGGGACACGGAGACACTGGGACGCAGGGACACAGAGACACTGGGACACTGGGACGCAGGGACACGGAGACACTGGGACACGGAGACACTGGGACGCAGGGACACGGAGACACTGGGACACTGGGACGCAGGGACACTGGGACACGGAGACACTGGGACGCAGGGACACGGAGACACTGGGACACTGGGACGCAGGGACACTGGAACACAGAGACACTGGGACACGGAGACACTGGGACACTGGGACGCAGGGACACGGAGACACTGGGACACTGGGACGCAGGGACACGGAGACACTGGGACACTGGGACGCAGGGACACGGAGACACTGGGACACTGGGACGCAGGGACACGGAGACACTGGGACACTGGGACGCAGGGACACGGAGACACTGGGACACTGGGACGCAGGGACACGGAGACACTGGGACACTGGGACGCAGGGACACGGAGACACTGGGACACTGGGACGCAGGGACACGGAGACACTGGGACACTGGGACGCAGGGACACGGAGACACTGGGACACTGGGACGCAGGGACACGGAGACACTGGGACACTGGGACGCAGGGACGCGGGGATGAGAGGACGTTGGGAGACAGATGAGGGCGGAGGGACATTGGGATAGGAGATGCTCAGACGTGGGGTCGCGGGGACTCATGGGGCTGCATGGCCTCACTTCCCTCCGCCTCGCTCAAGACAGCGGCGGCAGGCGGAGAAATAGTGTCACGGGACCGCTGAGCGCCTAATTGGGCTAGGGGTAGGTGTAGAGTTTAGGGGTAGGGTTAAGGATGGGGCTAGGGGTAGGTGTAGAGTTTAGGGCTAGGGTTAAGGATGGGACTAGGGTTAGGGACAGGGGTAACCCGTGGTGGTTTAATTTCCATGTAGACGCAGTATTTCCCAAACATGGCTCTGTAGTCGCGGTAGTAGCGGCAGTGGCAGCAGTGGCAGCAAGGTGATAGCGGTGGTGGTCGCGGTGGTGGTAGCGGTTGTGTTGGTGGTGATGGTAGTGGTGGTGGTCATCATCATGTTGGTGGCGGTCGGTCGAGGCAAACAGCGGTAGTTGCGGTCATGGCAGTGAACAGTGGCTCGGCCGTGAATAGTGGTGGCGATGAAAGGTGGCGACGGTATTGGCGGCGAATAGCGACGGCGGTGAACAGTGGCGCTTGCGGTGGCGGTGGTTAGCCGAGTGAGCCGCGCCGCCCCCCCGCTTGGCGCTGCGCCCACCGCCACCAGCGCCGGGCGCGCGTTCCCCCGCTTCGACGGCGCGCGGCGCATTATTGGCTCGTGATTTAGTTTCCGGCTGACGGCTCCTGTTTAGCCGCGCCATTACCCGCGGGCTGGGAGTTAATTAGGTAATTACAGGGGATGCGATAGAGCTGTTGAGATGGCCCCTCCCTCTCCACGACTGACCCCCCCTCACCCCCCCACCACACCCTCCCCGCCCGCCCCCCACCAGCCCCCGATCCCTCCTCTCCCCGCCCGTCCACTGCGCCAAACGGGACACTTTCACCCATTCCGCTAACGACTCGCGGCACCCAATAATAAACAACAACATTCACACACACACATGCAGACAAGGGCCCAGGACAGGTAAAAATAATCGTCACTGGTGTTGGTCACGAGCGGGAATCGAACTCGGGTCGCTGGGTTTGTAGCGCAGCGCGCTAACTGCTACACTATCGCTCCCCCACGCACACACGGTGGCGGGATGTTAACACCCTTGCCTGGTACACAGGAGATCATAGGTTCAATCCCGATCTTGACGCCTGTATATTGGAGTTTGCGTGTCGCTCTCCCCGTGGTCACACAGATTTTTCTCCACATTTAGAATTAACGTCACACGTTTTAGAGTATAAATTTCCAGACGATGATAAGCCACTTCGTTAAGCTATCATTTGTGGCCAGGTCGCTTTTGAAAGAGAGCTACATAAGCTCAGTGGGTCTTACCTGGTATAATAAAATATAGTTCGGTTTTAGTTTAGACACACAGGCACAAAAAACAAAAGACACACACACACAGACACCTGCCCGGGGAAGGAACACACAGAGACCCACACGCACCAGAGAAATCACCCTCCACCCCCCCCCGCCTTCAAGCTCCCCCCCGCCCTCCACCCCACTGCCTCCCTCCGACGAACGCACGAACGCGCGGCGTTTAAACAAATTAACCCGAGCACATAAACATCGCGGGGAACGTGGGGCTGGCGGCTCCCGGCGGCGGAGCCGTCGCATCTCCGCGGAGAGTTCTCTATTTACAAAACGCGAGCGCAAACACACAAACAACACGGGGGGGGGGGGGGGGGGCCTTCGCCGGCCGGGCAACGCTTGCCGCTCGTCAATGAGAGAGAGAGAGCAAGAGAACAAGCAAGAAAGACTTTCAAGTCGAGGCTGACGTGCTCGTGAGATGAGGACGGCCGGCAGCGATTGCCCGGCGGCGTGGGGGCCCCGCCAACGTCTCTCGCGTCGCCGCGGGACGGCGTCACCCAAGGCCCTCCACGATGCTCGCCCCCGGGACAACGTCACCCCCAGATCGTCATAACCTCACCCCCAGCTCAATGTTACGTCACCCCCAGCACAATGTTACGTCACCCCCGGGACGTCACTGTCACCTCCAGGACCAACGTTACATCACTCCCGGAACAACGTCACCCCCAGATCGTCATAACCTCACCTCCAGCACAACATCACGTCACCTCCAGCACGTCACTGTCACCCCCAGGACCAACGTCACGTCACCCCCGGGGACAACGTCACCCCCAGTTCAACGTCACAACGTCACTCCCAGCACAATGGTACGTCGGTCTAAGGACAGGGGCCACTAACAGAGTGACGGGGTGAGTTCGTACCAGGGTTGCGATTTCCGCATGGAAAATGCGGAAGGAGTGTTCAAATTTTCCCGCATTTTTGCTAAAGTCAACCGCAAACGGTGGAAAGACTACTCCTATGACCGCGCGCTTTTAACAACACGTTAATGCGTTCTATTGGAAAGGATACATGCAAGGCCCAGCATCAGGTAGGGCTTTGAGTTACTGATTGGAATGAATATATGATTTCCGCATTTCCGCACAAGAACCACATACTTTATTCAAATGCGGAGCCGTGATTACGAGCACATGTACTTTCACTTCTTCGCATTCTTCCAGCGCTTCATGTCGTCTTCGGCGTAAAAGATGCTGAGTTTTGGCTTGTCGCGGGCGCAAACTATAAGCGCGTTCAACTGCTTGCACGAGAGGAGCAACCACTCCTCGGGCTTGATGTTGTTTTGCAGAGAGAAAGCCCTCTCACAGCCGACCGACCTGTGCGCCAAAGTTTTAATCGTTAGCAGTAAAGTGTATATATTCGCAGGAGGTATAAAGTAGCTACGACAGAGGCAAATGAGCGTACGCTGGACGAGGATATTACCTGAGCGGAAACGCGTATCTGAGCGTATCGAAAACAGCGTGGGTATCTGAGCGCTTGGCCAAATTTACCAGTGGATTTCCCAACGCGCTGCAATCTGAGCGACGATGAATAGTTTTGCATATCGACAGAATATGAATAAAGAAAATGCTACAGTTTTTTGTTTTTCCTTTGTCGCTACGAGTACTGCGAGGGCTCCGAATGGCAGACGCTAGGAGACATCATGGGGCTGGGCAAAAGGGCCTGAGCACAGCGCTGGGGGTTGCGTCGATCCGGAAAGATGCAACCGTAGGGATTCCTATCGGCGACAAACATGTCAACGGTGGCGTCGTGTACTTGTGGCAAGTATGCTTCATCGACGGCATCGACAAGTACTTCGACGCACAAGAGCTCGCGGCTCTCATTGATTTTTTCACAGTTCGTGCGCACCAACAACGCTGTCTGAATGCAGGAATCCATAGTTCATATATACATATCGTTTTTTCCAGAAGTCAGCAGAGCCAAATGGGCATACGCAAGATATGTGCGCCAACCGCGCGAGTACGGCACCGAGAAAGGCGGGAATCGAAGTCACGATTTGCGGAAGTCTTCACAGGAATCACCGCAAATTGCGGAAATTTGTGCGGAAGAGGGTCACAGAAACTACCGCAAAATGCGGTCGAAAACAGCATGTTTGCGGAAATTGGTGCGGAAATCGCAACCCTGGTTCGTACTGCTGTTATAACCGGGCGTCTTTACGTGGCACCTTCATAACGTGGCGTGCCACGATAACAGGTGGTGCCGTTATAACAACACACCATCGTAACAACGGGGCGCTGCGATTATAACGAGGTGTCACCGTTATAACCGGCCGTGTTGCTCTAACGGGCTGCCGCCATCACAACGGGGCGTGCCGTCATAGCGGGGCGCCACCGCGTCTCACCGAGCGAGCGTTCACGTCCACCCCGGCCTCCGCCACCAGCGTCGCCGTCTCCACGCTGCCGTGCTTCGCCGCCCAGTGCAGCGCCGTCTGCCAGAGACACGCAGCATCGTCATCGTCACCGTCAACGGCAGCAGCAGCCAGGGTCTATCCACTGTTGGATGAAGGCCGCCGCTCCCGGGTTTTGCAATGCAGCAGCAGCAGCAATCTTCCATCATCGCTGGCCACCGTCCCATCCAGACGTGACGCATGCTGACCAAGTCCCACTGGTCTTCTTGGTTCTTTCGGTAAAGTCACGTAGAATGGAAATAATTCTCACGACGTTTCAAAACCTCGTGAGAATTATTTTATTATGTTTCATTTTTATTATTTTATTATTTCCCTTCTACGTGACTTTACCGAAAGAACCAAGAAGATGAATCCCTGCAGTCACGAAAGCTTTAAATCGAAGTCCCACTGGCTTTGATTAACGGACGATTTGCTGCTGCGGCTGTGGCTGCGTTGGCAGTGGTGCACGAGAACAAATGACAACAAACTCAACTCGTTCATCAATAACAACACCGTGTGTGGGGCCTCAAAAGGACGACTACATAACAGGCGACGTTTCGGGCCATTCTTTGGAGCATGGACGCGCAATTGGGTAAACTTAAATGAGAAAACACAACAAGTGCAATTTTCTCTGCACTCGTCGTTGTGACGACGATAACTGGCTGCGCTCACCTACGCCGACATGGTCGGTCACAGAAATCCACGGCGCTCCCGGGTTACCCGCGTCGTTAACCGACAGGTGTGTGAGGATCGGGGCTAACAGCGATTTACCGAGCGTGCCGGGGTAACTTTTGAGCCGCAGCGCTACTCAGTTAACCGCTGGGTTAACCGCGCGGCTGATGGCCGGGCGAACGAGATTCGGAGCTAAACGCAATCCAGGAAGCGCTACGGGGTAACCGCGGGTTAAACCGCGGCGCCACCGAGCCTGTGCCGTATAGTTCGCGGAGTGCGAGGCAGCGGGGGACGGTGGTGGGGAGACAGCGAGAAACGTGAGCTTCCCGGGAAAAGCCTGAGCCCGAGATAATCGGGTTTCTGGGGAAGGAGTGAGGAGCTAGCGAGTGAGCGAGTGGCGCTAATGCCATCAAGGCCACGCTGAGAGACCACCCCCCCACCCACCTCCGTTCCCCATGCTCTTTGCATAAGCCGATCCACGGGGCGCTGAGCGCGTGCGTGCGTGTTTACGCGAGTGTGTGTGTGTGTGTGAGAGTGAGTGCGTGATTGTGGATCTGTGAGCGTGTGGGGAGTGGTAGTGCAGCGGTTATCGCGTTGCGCTACACACACACTCTTTCACGTGAACCCATCCACTCACGTGAACCCACAACACACTCACGTGAAGACACAGGTGCACGCTCTATCACGTGAACAGGTTGGAGGAGACACTTACAAACTGAGGTTGGAGAGGAGAAGAGTCGTCCCGGGTGGCAGTGTCGCAACGGCAGAAAAGGGGACGAGAAACAGTTAATGGTCAGAAAATCACCTCCACAACAGCGAGTGCAGCCGGTACGCAAACACACACACACACACTCTCTAACACGAACCCACACACACACACTCCCTAATGCGAACCCACACACACACACTCTCTATAACGTGAACCCACAAACACACTCCCTAATGCGAACCCACACACACACACTCTCTAATGCGAACCCCCACACACACACTCCCTAATGCGAACCCACACACAAACACTCTCTATAACGTGAACTCACAAACACACACTCTCTAATGCGAACTCACAAACACACACTCTCTAATGCGAACCCCCACACACACACTCTCTAACACGAACCCACACAAACACTCTCCCTAATGCGAACCCACACAAACACACTCTCTAACGTGAACCCACACACTCTCGATAACGTGAACCCACACACACACACACACTCTCTAACGTGAACCCACACACACACACTCTCTAACGTGAATCCACACACACACACACACTCTCTAACGTGAACCCACACACACACTCTCTAGCGTGAACCCACACACACACACTCTCTAACGTGAAGCCACACACACACACGCTAACGTGAACCCACACACACACACTCTAACGTGAAGCCACACACACACACAGTCTCTAACGTGAACCCACACGCGTCTCTGCACCGAGATAGCCGCTGCAATCAGCGGTAACCCCCCACGCGCGCGGCACCGCCGGCCGAGAACACGAGCCCAGGGTGGGAACGCCGTGCGCGTGCGGCAGGCCTCACTCGACACCCGGTTCTGCGGCCCACCGCACCGCTCTCACCGGCCGCCCGGTGAGAGCGGTGCGGTGGTTCGCTCGGTGAGAGCGGCCGCCGGGCCTGACTCCCACACCAGGCCTCTCCCCCCCCCCATCCAGCCCCCCGCCCCCCCGTGTTTACGGTAAACATCCAGCGGTGGCCCCGGCGCGTCGCCGCTGAGTGACTCTTTCCTGCGTCTTTAGCGAACGCCTACTATTAGACTCCAGCCCTCTACCCCTATACACCTACCCCTCTACACCTACCATTAGACTCCAGCCCTCTGCACCTACCCCTCTACCCCTACCCCTACCATTAGACTCTACCCCTCTACACCTACCCCTACCATTAGACTCTACCCCTCTACACCTACCCCAATACACCTACCCCTCTACACCTACCCTTCTACACCTACCCCTACCAATAGACTCTACCCCTATACACCTACCCCTCTACACCTACCATTAGACTCCAGCCCTCTACACCTACCCCTCTACCCCTACCCCTCTACCCCTACCCCTCTACCCCTACCCTTCTACACCTACCCCTCTACCCCTACCATTAGACTGGAATGATGGGGTGGGTGCTGGATTCTTCTCCGGGTCCTCCGCTTTTTCCCTCCACATTTAGAAACATGCGTTGAGACTATTTGGCAGTTATACATTTCCACACAATCCACTTTGTTGAGCTATCGTTTGTGGCCAGGTCGCTTCTGGGAAAAAAGCTAAATAGCTCAGTGGGCCTTACCTGGTAAAATAAAAATAGTTTAAAGGTTTTCGTGTTTGTTATAGGTGGTAGTTGTAGGGGGCTGTAAGAGAGATGACGAAGATGTTGGTGGTGGTGGTGGCGGCCGTGGTGGTGCTGTTGTTGTTGCCACTGCTGGTGGTGGCGACGGCAGTGGGAGGGATGGAGGGGATGGAGGGAGATGACGGAGCTGTTTGTGGCGGTGGCAGTAGCGGTGGTGGACGTGGTGTCGCTGTTGTTGCTTGTGTTGGTGGCGGCAGTGGTGGCCGTGTCACATTGTTGTTGCTGTTGCTGCTGGTAGCGGTGGTTGTGAGGTGGGGGGGGTGGTGGATCACGCTGGAGATGACAGAGCTGTGTGTGGCGCGGGGGGGGGGGGGGCTCCTGGGTGTGTGTGGGGGCTCCCCCCGTGGCTTCAAACGCCTCTCATCGCGGCCGCTTTGTGAGCGGCCGAGAGTCAATGGCGCGAGAAGTCGCATCGGCCTTTGTTTAGAAGAGGCTAAAGGAGCTTTCTGATCCCAAATGCGGCAACAAACACCCAGAGCTCACTGAGCATCACTGACCCTCACCCCCCAACCCCCACCTCCCCCACCTCCTCACCCCTCTACCCTCACTCTTGCACACCACGTGACAACTGACTTCGTATGGCTGCGTCGGGTGGTGGAGGCTCTTAACGACACAGATTTGGTCAAATTATCTGCTGATGTTGCTGCTGCCGTGTTGACAGTGGTGTGCAAGCACGATTAACCACGGTGCCACCCAGCCAGATTGTGAGTAGTGGCCACCTTAACCACGGTGCCACCCAGCCAGATTGTGAGTAGTGGCCACCTTAACCACGGTGCCACCCAGCCAGATTGTGAGTAGTGGCCACCTTAACCACGGCCACCCAGCCAGATTGTGAGTAGTGGCCACCTTAACCACGGCTACCCAGCCAGATTGTGAGTAGTGGCCACCCTAAGCACAGTGCCACCCAGCTGTATTGTGAGTAGAGTAGTAGCTCTCCCCGTGGTGAGATGTTAACTACCTCGCCTGGTATACAGGAGGTCGTGGGTTCAATCTCGACCCTGACGCCTCCTGTATATTTTGAGTTTGCGTCTCTCTCCCTCTCTCTCCCCATCGTCGCGTGGATTTGTCTCCGGGTCCTCCCGTTTTTCCCTCCACATTTAGAATCAACGTCACGTGTTTAGAGCACTTGGCTGCTAGAACATTTCCACTTCGTTGGGCTATCGTTTGTGGCCATGTTGCTACGTAGCTCAGTGGGGCCTTACCTGGTGAAGAAGTAAAGTTTAGTTTAGTTTTAGAGCACGGCAGCTACTCACCCCCTGCAGGTGGATCCAAGGTGAGCATATCCACAGGTGAGGTCATCCCCAGATGAGCCCATCAACAGGTGAGTCAGTGCACAAGTGAGCCCACCAACAGGTGAGTAGGTACACGAGTGAGTCCATCCACATGTGAGATAGTATACAGGCGAGTCGGTCCACAGGTGTGCCATTACGCAGGCGACACGATCCACAGGTGAGTCCACAGCGGCCGGGAGCCACCGAGGGGACGGAGGTGTCGACAGAAGAGAGGGGGGGGGCAGCATGGAGGGGGAGTGGGAGAGAGACCATGATCAGTTTCTCACAAACGACAATAAACAGCGCGATGGGGGCGAGAGAGTGTGCCCCTGGACAGCCTGTACCCCGCCCCCCGCCCCGCCGCCACCTACCACACTCCGCTCAGGAGAGCGCATCTCTCCCTCCGCTCCCCGCGTCGCGAGGTCCACGCACGGGAGGGGGCGGGGGTGGAGACCTCCGTCGCACGCCCCCCCCCCCCCCCCCCAAAAGGCTCGAGCGCTGCAGTAAACGCGCGGAGCTCACTCGCTCGCTCGCTGACTCGCTGGCTCGCTGGCTCGCTGGCTCGCTGGCTCGCTGGCTCGCTGGCTCGCTGGCTCGCTGGCTCGCTCTCACTCACACGGCGGACCTGTGTCTGAGCTGGCACGGGACCGCCCCTCCTTCTACCATCCGTTTCAGTACTTCCCGGTCCGTTCTTGTCTTTCTCCATCCTCAGTCCTTCACTCTCCCTTCTCTGTTCTTCCCCCATCCTTCTCAATCCTAGCTAACCTTCCCCATCCTTCCCCGTCCTTCACCGTCCTTCCCCGTCCTTCCCGCCAACACTTTCCAGTCGCTGTCTTTCCGACAGACCTGTTCTTCACCTGAGGACGGCTGCTTGCGTTGTGGCCGAAACGTCGTGAGAATTGTATTTTATTGTGTTTTATTTTTATTATTTTATTATTTCCCTTCTACGTGACTTTAGCAAAAGAACCAAGAAGATGAAGACTTTCCAGTCCTTCACTCCCATTCCTGGCCCTTCCCCCATCCTTCCGTGCACCACTATCACACGCGAGATACATCCACCAAAGGGTTCGGCCAAGAATCCATTCAAACACCTGGTCGTTAACTGCATTTGTCTCTTCGACGACTTTTTTTTTCTCCTTAGCTCATCCCACGGCCCCATAATCTCCCCATTCTGAGCACTACCGTTCCTGTCCCTCACTCACAATCTCTCTCCTCACGGCCTCCACTGAGTCCCCATCCATCCAATCATTTGCTCGTCAATTGTTCTTTCACCTAATTCACGCAATTACAGGTTCACCCATTACATCCTGTCATCTATTGAATTCACCTCATCCTAACCATCACATGCCCATGTACCACCGTCAACTCTCTTTCAAGTGCCTTGGTCAAGGCGCCATATAAATTACTATAAAATAAGATCGTGATGACGTCACACGCACCTCCAATTATCACGGCTGGCTACGTACGGTGCGAAAGAAGTTCAACAGACTTACATACTTCCATACTTCCCCCGTCCTTCCAACTCCTTCCCTTCCCTTCGCCCAGCACAGAAAAAGAACGTGCAGCTGAACCACACTCCTCTCGCTCGTATCGGGGGATTTCAGCGGGGGATCCGGCACAAAACTCGCGACGGCACGTGGAGGGGTGCTTCAGGGCACTCGGGGAGCGAGCAAATCCTTCCCAGACGGTGCGACTTAGCCTCCTCTCCCAGTCGCTCGGCTTCACCCCCCCTCACCCCTCCCCCCGCTCGCGTGGTAATTAGCGCAGGCAGCAGCGGACGGAGCCTGGCGGGCGGCGTAGGTGGGCGGAAGGGGTGCGCGGCGGGTGGGGGCGCTGGTGGGACAGGGGTGTGAATTCACAGCGGCTCTAGGAGCCAGGAGCCAAGGCTTAGAGAGGCCTCATCCAGAGCGGTCACAGCAGGCCCAGATGTTGAGGGCCAAATCCCGGGCCGGCTCGCTAGCTTGCCCCCTCCCCCATCCCCCCCCCCTCCCTATGCCGCCCCCCCCCGCGTGCTCGCTCCACTTAAGAGGATTAGGCGGATCGCTCAGCGTGGCGCGCCCCTCCGTGTTTACCCCCAAATCCAATTTGGACTTTGTTTCCTTTTCTCTCGGCCGCTAACGGGGCCCAGATGCTCGGCGGGGCCGATCTGCGCCGCGTGTAGGGGGCAACCCTCGGCGGAGCCCGGAGCCCGTGGGGTGGACCGCCGCCACCACCGCCACCGCCGCCACCGCCGCAGTAGCAGCAAATCCCTCTGTTTATACATCTGGGCTGCTAATGTTGCAGTAATCCGTTTTCTTCTCCTAAAAGAGATTTTTAAGCGGTGCAACGCCGGGGGAGTGAAGCGACGGTAGCAGCTGCTTGCGCGCGTTTCAGGTGGTGGCCGGAGATGCCCCGGCACGAAAGAAAAGTAGCGGAGCTCCAAATGCTGCTGCTGTCGATGACGAAGGCGACGCCGTTTGCGATTTTTCTCTCGGCGTCGCCGACGGGCGCAAATTTGGCGACGCCATCCAAACGCCGGGGCTGCGCGGGCGCCCAAGCGCGGCGCTGGCGCGAGCGACGGCGACTGATGCCTTCGCTGGTTAAATAATTAACGAGTCAATTTCTAACGAGGGGTCCTGCTCCTCGGCCCTCCTCGTTAAAGTAGCCGAGACAGCGGCCTGAAAGGGTCACCGCGAGGATCACAGATTAGCGGGGAAAGCGACGATTTAATTAATTGCCGAGATCTGATCTCACCATTACATCCAACAATTGGGTTAATTTTTTAAACGGAGTTCTTCCCGCATCGTTTATATTGGGTTCTCATGTTCCCCCACCGCCCACCATCTAATATCTGTGGTTTTATCTGCTGCGGTCAGCCAGATTGCACCGCACGCGTGTCATTTGCGCTGTCATTAGGGTGCCACCTGTGTAGAATCTACACGAATCCGTGTAAATAATCGAGCGTCTCGTGCGCGCGCACGCTCGCTCGATTTGACGTACGCCTCGGTGAGGAAGGGAACTGACGTTGAGTGACGAATCGGATTAAAATCTCGATTTAAAGCTTTCGTGACTGCAGGGATTCATCTTCTTGGTTCTTTCGGTAAAGTCACGTA